AAACTAGTTTAACTTCGTCCTACAAAATGCACATACATCATTTTCGTTGCAGTAAAAATGCGAAAATAACTACTACAACAAACGTTGTTTGACACAGTGCCGTTGGAGGTCTATATATAGTCTAGCGGTGACTACCCGAAAACGTAGCATACTTTATGACCTGTCTTTGACAGGTTTAAATAAGACAAAATAGTTTTATTCAAATATATGGATTGGAAATAAACAGTGGTTGAAAATGAAAGGTTTGGGTAGATAAAAAAAAAATGAAATAAAATCCTGCTGCTAAATATGAAAAATAAATACGAATGGCACAAAAAGACGAGAGATATGTACATGGAGAGAGAGAGGGTCGGTTCGCCATACGTCCGTTCGAAACAAACTAGGTAATTTCTGGACTAACATATGGCTCAATTTTATTTTAATAATTCACTTGCGCATAGAGCTCTTTAGCGCGGAATCAAAACCACGCTACTTGACTATATAACACCTTCTGATCCAAGGCGCACGCGTTAATCCCCCCCCCCACCAGACATATTTGGGGCACGCTAAAGTGGGGCACGGTGGCTCAGTCAGTAAGACGTTGGCTGGTGATTCCGGCCGAAAAAGTTCACATGGAGTTTCCGGCGTTGTTGCAAAGGACGACGTATAGTCGTTCGGCTGAGACGAAAAATCGATGTCGTTAAACCCCATTGCATTTCTTAACATGGAAAGGGTGTGGCACTTTGTTGGTTCAGCACGATCTACTCTATTTTGCAAAATGATACAAGGACAGAGAATATCGATTTAATAAAAGGGCGGCAGATAACGAAAACAGATGGCGAAATACTCTTTGTCATCCGGATGGCGAATTAGTCTGATGATCATACCCGGTGTTGGATGAGAATGTTCATATGTATTGTGCGGCATGGTTTTCGCGGTGTCCTTTGGTTTCCTCCCACGACTAAAGACCCCTACGCACAAGCGACTCCGGAGGAATTTTCTGAGGAAGAACAAAGTAGAATAAAAGTTGCTATTTGTTACAAGTCAAACTTAAACAGTTTCGGCGTGGTTTCGATTCACCTGTTGTACGTGACAAGGAGTAGGGTCGCCTGTGCAACCCCATGGGTTTTCTCCGGGTCCTACCACTGCTAACGTCTAAAGACCACTACGCTCGGGAATTATTCAAATAAAAAAAATGGAACCCTATGTGTTAGTCCCGAAATGACCCTCTCTCTCTCATTCCAGTTTCATATGAGGGAAATTTTGCCCGGATACGCCAATGTATACACCTGTCCTCGTTTTTTTCGTCCCATCCGAGCGACTACACAGCTGTCCTTGCCAGGCCCTTCGTCCTGCACCACTGACAAGGGGAAATAGCCGAAACAAATTATGATCATGCCTAAAAAATATATCGTTTAGAGTACACAGAGACGAGGCATGCGAAGCCGGTGGCTTAAAGAAACATTCGTGATTCCAGAAAAAATGTCACTGTGTATTAAACTGACTTTAAATTTTCTAAATTTTATGCCAAATTTTAATCCCTTAATCAATTTTAAGAAATTACGATCTCATCCCTGGCTGGTACGCCCATGTGAGTAGATGTAAATGAATTATATGTTTGACAATAAAACACACTGTTGAGAAAGCAATGTAGGCTACGAGTAGCAAATGAATAAAACACACGGTTGAGAAAGAAATCTAGGCTATGAGTAGCAGATGAATACGGGATGCCAATAAAGAAATGGCGGGGGGGGGGGGGCAATGGTTAGCACGTGTGCGCTGTATCATAAGGTCTGTCATAGAGCTCTCTCTCTCTCTCTCTCTCTCTCTTACTCTCTCTCTTACTCTCTCTCTCTCTAGTTTGAAATGGAAGGTATAAATAGAAATATATGGGTGGCAAATATAAAACGCAGTTGGAAATGAAATGTATTGGGTAGGAACTGAAATATACGAATGGTATATAGATAGAACATGTGGTTGGCAATGAAATAATATGGGTAGCCTACTCCGGGTGGTAGGCGGGCGGGCATTCAGATCAGGTTAGAACAATTTTAATAAGCCTCTGCTGCTTTCGCAGGAATGAAATTAGATTAAGTTTATATTGTATCTACTTTGTGATAAACAAAAGTGCAAAGAAATGCGTTTTCAATGTATTAGTAAAGATTCAAAATTTCACAGAATACGGAACTTTTCACATGTGTGCTACTTCCATCTACACACGATGTCGGTTTCGCTGTCTATGCTTCGCTGTGAACGAAGGTGTTCATATGCACTATGAAGCTTCAAATAACAAATGACAATTAAAAAGGGATTCTGGGTCTGTATTTTGAATAAAAGCACAAACAATCTGCAAGAATGTTAGGTTTATTATATAAAACGAATGGCGAATAACCATCCTTATGGCTCTAGGCTATTCGCCATTCGAATGGCGAATATCCACTCCGTTTTAAAACTATATTTTATATGTTTTGTTTTATATCTCATACACCCATGTTTCAATACAGAGGGGGGTGGGGGGTGGGGGTGGATGGTCGAATGGTTAGCACGTGCGTGCTGTATCATAAGGCCTGTCATTGAGTCAACTGGCGTGGTTTCGAATCCCCGGTTGTACGTGACAAGGAGTAGGGTCGCCTGTCCAACTACGTTGGTTTTCTCCGGGTCCTCCGGTTACCTCCCACTGCTAAAGACCCCCACGCGCAAGCGAATTATTGAAATACAATTAAACCATATGTTGGTCCGGAAATGACCTGGTTTGTGTCGAGTGGACGTTAAACCCCATTTCTCTCTCTCTCTTTCAATACAGAGGCCCAATTTCTATATCATTTTCAAAGATTGTTTAAAAAGAACGGTATCGGCAACTGGAAAACAACATTTTTTTGCGAGAAAATGTCCATGGGCATTCACAGTCTGCATGGGACACAAAATTTTGAAGGGATTCATGGACAAGTCAGATTCAGGGAAGTGTCATACTTGCGCTCCGTTTATTTATTCCATTTTTTAAAATATATCCGGTTTTTGTAAACATTTTTTAAAAGGTTATATTTTATTAGGGTCTGTTTTCCTTATAAGAACGTGACTATAAATATGACCTTGAATATCAAGATTTGCAAACACAATGTTCATGTGGGCTCTTGCCAGACAGAAAGTGTTAATGATTTTTATTAAGTATGTGTAAAATATTTTGTTATTGGGCAGATTGATGTGGACATATTATAAGAAACCTGGGACATCAGTTCATCGGTTCAATTAATACAGATCGCTATCTCCAATAAATGTCTTGCCTAGTCTCTGATATCTCATAAAAAATACATGTTTTAACTTCCTTTGATTCTTTACGGTATCGTCACCTACACTTATTTGCCTTTTACGACTCTCCGATTGCGTTATATGTCACTAAACCGGTCTGAGAAAGCATCTAAATCGCCATACATTCTAATTTACGTAACCTATGATTTGGTGAACATTCAAATCTAGGTGTCAATCGTTGGAAGCGGGGATAAATTAAGTGATATAATAATGGTTGTTATCAAAAGGAAGTCGGTTGTAGAACTCCGGGTCATAAAGAAACCTTAACTATCCGTCAAAATAAGCCATCAATTAGCAATCAATGATAGAAAATGTCTCGTTTTTTTTCTGTGACGGGTTTCTTATAGTGATAGTCAAGTCATGCACTATAGACCAATATTCATCCATGTTTAAGTGAAAAACATAGGTGATATCAAATAGAACAAAATAAACATGAAGCCAGTGACTTCGAGCTTTAGCCAGTTTCTAATCTTTTACATCGTTGTTGTTTGTTGATAAGCACTAGTTAAAGGCACAACATGTCAGAATAATGGTTTAAGACTATACACAATCAAAATGGCGTTCATTATTCCAAAAAAATATTCAGATTCAAATCGATCAGTTCAAAAATAAGTTGTTATGGTCATTTAAAGTTTACATTGGTTTCACATCGCCGTGTTATCTTCTTCGTACAAGGTAGCACATTTTTTTTTAAATACACGAATGTAATTAATCACGTAATAACAACAGTATTTGTTTAAAATGGTATTTTTTTACTTTTCCGATATATGTGACTCATCAGTTATTTTCTTCCCCTAATTTCCAATGAAAGGTTCCATAAAACTACATGATAAAGACCAAGTAAAAATTCAACCGAGAAAACCCACCCAAACCCCCACAATATCTTTTCACTGTTCGAGTTGTCCCACCCCCCGTGCTCTCAAAAAAGGACGGTTATACTAACGTTCCATCCGAATCTTATCACAGGTCGCAACTTACCATGGTCCCCAATAGTTCAGTATGCCTGATGAACATCACGATTTAAAGGGCGTATGACTCTATTCTTTGGTACCTTAAAATAGACGAAATGGGTCTGAATGCACATAATATGGGTGTATATAAAGTTATTTTCACCTTTTTAAAAAAAAATTGTTTTTGTAATTTCTAATCATCTACGTTCGGTGAAATAGGTGAACAGTCGAAATTTAACGAAAGTCGTTTGCGCCTGGTTAGTTCATTCTACACGGGTTATTTTGTCGTTTGAGTATCAGCCATTTTTTCTTCTGGGATATGTTTTCTATTTTTCATTACAAATGACTTTTGAAACCATTATATTCGTAGAATACACGACTCGTGTAGTGATTTTAAAATGCTCACTGTGTCTTAAATAGTTGATATGGGGATCCCATATTCAAATTCGTAGTTTTATTTCGAATATTATCGATAATAATTAATATTGAGTTTGAGGTTTAGCTCCTGTAACGCTAAATAGACGTTTCCTAATCACATCTTCCCATCTTCCCGGTTAAGAGTGGGACCAAATGAAATAACGCCATGTAAGAATTGGAACATTGTTAACACCATGCGAATCTGAACAAAGTTATGACGCTAACATTATGGAATATAATATTTGGCCAAAATTGGTTATGTAAACTTGGTGAACGGATTCTTAAATCATATTATCTAATGACGTGTCAGTAGAGTTTTAGTAGGGTTCTTTGTTTATTTCATTCCAGAATACAGAAATGGATCCAGTAAAAGAGCGTGTTGGGCGTATGCTGCGAACCGCTAGATCATATCTTCCACGCAAAGGAACGGCGGAGGAGAAGGTAAACTTTGCACTATTTTCCAACTCGGAGAGTGAGAAAGAATTATCAACATTACAAAATGGTTCTATACGGAAATCTTCGTGGCCAGACGACCGAAGTCAAAGTGGCAGTGTGGTGGATGAATTGTCAGACTTTAACGTTAATCCTAAAGATAAGATTTCAGAATGGCAAGCCGGATGGAATGTTACAAACGCTATACAGGTAAGCTATTCTGTATTTACATTTTTCCAGTTTAAAGCACGGCATTGTTTTACAGATTGGCCCACCAGTCCATTCATATCATCCCAAACTGGTAGGCCAAGATTTTATAGACTATTCTTACTCGGGAACATGAACATTCCACTGTGAAACTAAGTTACCAAAATATACATCATAACCACCTCAAAAACTTCTTCGACCGATTCATATAAAGGAAACCTAGCGCACTTTTTTTATAGCGTTGGTCCTTTTATGCTCTTAATGTATGGATTATTACTAACCCTTAAAATATTTTTTGTCCCTCTTTATAATTTTGTCATAAAATGATCTTATCAAATCTATAATTTCAGGGTATGTTTATAGTAAGCTTCCCTTATGCAGTTGTCCAGGGCGGTTATTGGGCTTTAGTTGCAATGATAGTTGTTGCCTATATCTGTTGTCATACTGGTAAAATATTAGTCCATTGTCTTTACGAAGAAAACGAACAAGGCATAAAAGTACGAGTCAGAAACAGTTATGTGGAAATTGCTGAACATGTATGGGGAAAGCGATTTGGTGGTCGCATTGTGAATTGTGCACAAATTATAGAATTATTAATGACGTGCATACTTTATGTGCTCTTGTGTGGTGACCTCATTAAGGGCAGTTTCCCTGACAGTCCCTTGGATTTGACGTCGTGGATTATTATAAGCACTGTACCATTGTTAGCCTGTGCGTTCCTACAATCTCTACAACGTGTATCCATGTTGAGTTTTTGGTGTACAGTAGCTCACATGTTGATCAACGCCATTATACTTATTTACTGTTTTACAAAAGTCACTGAATGGCATTGGACTGATGTACAAGTTCGGATCAATATTTGGACATTTCCCATTTCCTTAGGGATTGTAGTGTTTAGTTACACGTCTCAAATATTTCTGCCCACGCTAGAAGGTAATTTAAACGATAGAAGTAAATTTACCTGTATGATGCACTGGACTCATGTTGCGGCGGCTGTTTTTAAAGCTGGCTTTTCTTATGTAGGTTTCCTGACCTGGGGTTTCGCCACCAAAGAAGTTATCAGCAACAATTTACCAACCCAGGTGTTCAAGATCATCATAAACATCATCTTGGTCATCAAGGCTCAGCTATCTTACCCTCTGCCCTATTTCGCGGCTGTGGACCTTTTAGAGACAGCGTTGTTTGTCGGTCGACCAGAAACTGTATTTCCGGCTTGTATAGACAATACTCATAGACTCAAATTCTGGGCCCTGTTTTGTAGGCTAGCTCTAGTATTATTAACAACAGCTTTAGCTATATTCATACCCCATTTCGCTATTTTGATGGGGTTAATAGGTAGCTTTACAGGAACTATGTTGTCATTTGTTTGGCCGTGCTACTTTCACTTATGGATTAGATGGCATAGTATGAGTAGGTTAAGCCGTGCATTGGATATAATCATCATCATTATAGGACTATCCTGTGGCTCGATAGGGATATATTATTCCGGTCACGCATTAACGAGAGCTTTCCAAGGACTTCCGCCAAGTCCGTTCCATGGCTGAATATCAGATTTGGCGGGAAATCGAAGCACGTCACTTCGCGGCCATGGAACAATCAGACAATGTAATCATGTCATTAGTTAGGTGTCAGTTGAATTTACTTTACAAGTTTTTTTCTCGGTAATAAATATGCGATGTTAGAAGTCACGACTTTGTTTGTCAAAACTCTACACATAATGTGAGGATGGTTTCATCTGACCTTCTTCATACAGTCCGCCTACTTGAAGAACGTTTGTTCGATGACTGCACTATCCTATAGACAAACATAATTATTGACAATACTTGTTCTCTACAGCTGATGCTATATAAAGTATTGGTCTGTCCTATCGATATCGATATACTTTTATAACATGAATTATAACGGAAGGATGTCTGAAATACGACATCTGATGAGGTGGTCTGATTTAACCACTATTAATCCAGTTGAATTTATATGCTTTGAAATTAATTTTACCCTTACGACGATTCATTAGAAATAGAAATGAAATGATATGGGATTTAACGCTCTACTTTTCTTTACCGACTGGGATACTGAGGGAATTGTGAGGGAAACTTTGCCCCGACAGCGGCGCTACCGTCTACCCTTATTTCGATTCCCAACTGTCATGGGTTCAATGTGTACGCGGAGGCTTGGTATTTCGTCAAATTCGACGGAATAAACTCTGTTCCTTAGTTTAAACAAATTTTTGTTGCATCAACACAAATAACTTTGGATACAACTGGATTGGAAAAATGTTATCAAAAACTTACAGACGTCCTTTCCATAATCAGAAATTGTATAAATATAATATAGTCAAGTCAAGACCCGTAACCTTTTCTCGGGGAACAAGGTAATATTAATATAGATATTATTGCAACTTAGTTCCATATTTGCCAGCGAGACAAACCATTACTGATCACTTCAGCATTGTATAGAATGACAGTTACATGAGGTAGTGTCTTGTCCACACCTTCAAACAAAGAAACTAAATTGTTAATAAAACAAAGTGTGTGTGGGTGTGTGTGTGTTGGGGGGGGGGGGCACCCGTGCACCCTTTTGTATCACCCCCTTACTGTATCTTCAGTCTAGCCCTTTGTTTAACAGAACAGAGTGTGGATCTAACGAGTTAAGGTGTCTCAAATGTGGCTCTGATGTCAGCTACTCCCGAAATCCTCCGCTTAACCCCCGCAGACCCCCTTGACTTCTCGGAAACCCAAAATATTATCACGGACCCGTGTCTGCGAATCTTTGATCTATGGATACAAACGTATAATGAACTCGAGGTAACGACTGCATAAGCGGAGGGTATCTTAACAGCAAACTGTTTCCGTTTTTGAATATCAAAATTTTACGCAGATAACTTGACAAGTTTTTAACATTTTTGGGGATTCTATTTGATTTATCTACTAGGAACTTGGCTATAGGAATGGGTGAATCTATTGACAATTCTAGTGCAGCACTATGGTTAAACAAGAGCCGATAACTTTCAACCCGTTTCCAAATAAGGCTTTGAAACAGGATAGTTCGTTATGGAACTGGAACGTCTATTCACAGGAAAACGGGATACACTTTGGGTAAAATAGGTTTACTCTTCGGAACATATACTATATATTATAAAAAATAACATACGATACATAATCCTACAATATTCGTACGGTGCATACTGCAAGGCTAGGCTAACATAAATAGATGGCTTGTCGGCGAATCCAGCCAGTTAAGATAAAGCCCGTCGTCTTCCCTGATTTCCCCCTATCCTATCTGCTATGATTTTAAGGGTCTTATACCATACCGCATGAACGAATACCTATTCCCCTTTAAGTCCAAGTCGCATGATTCATGTATATATATATATATATCCATCAATAACATATATGAGAGCACATAGCTCTTATAATACATAAGGTCCGTGATAATCCAACTCAGTAACGAGCCTTCAGGGTTGAATTCATAATCTAAGATGAAGTCTAGTGAATCCAGAAACTGAACTGTGTAAACTGAGCATGAAGATCCGTTGAATACGGTTTACTATAATTAATAATCAGACGACGTAACATATTATAATGTTTGCATGTGTCCACAACCAGCAGTGAGACTTCATCATGTCTTAATTAAACACACCGCTATCTATGGAAATAAATGGGTCAGTGTCTTATGTAATCACTGACACCATAATGACTAAATGAAACATAATATAAACAATATAAACTGTGATATTGTAAAACGAAAGCATCGTGACATGCAATTAAGAAAATTATGTCTGGATGATATTAGAGATGTATTTTAATTTTTATATATATTTCACTTTGCCACTGCGTCTTAAAAAGTAAAGACGCATCCTCAAATCCATGAAATGCCTTTACTGATATTGACTTTTCAAACAATACAAAGACATAACAAATATAGTGCATTTTTACCGAATTGCTGTCAACTTCTTTTTACATAATGAAACCTATATAACCCAGTATTAATTTTATAATGCCAAATATCATAATTGGATTATATAACCAAATAATCTTATAGATATATATTGGACTTCGTGCATACATACAATATTGTTTTACAAATGTGCAATTTATTAGATGCAGTCATGCTGCGTTCAGAACCACAGGGAATTTCTTTAATCCCTAACTTTGTGAATGAAGAACAACCTGCCAACAGTTCAACACTGTAAAATACACCTGATCAACCACCTCTTTAGGGCGAGGATTGAGATGTGCAAGACAAATGGAATTGTAAATTATCGGCTCGTTTCACCTTGTTGTCTACAACATTTATATCCGACAGATCAGAATCTGCTTTCCTCAGATCTAAATTACTAGCATGAAGTCTGTAATAGTTATTTTTGTAGGTGCTTAAATAAACTTAGGAAGATAAATAAATAAGTTATTTTGCAGACCACAGACTGTCGTTTTTCGGCAAGGATCATTGATTACATAGAAGATGGGGTATTTTAAAATTGACGGGATCTGGTACATTCAACAGAGATGCTATCATAATACACCTTTTTTTCACCCATTCAAGAATTAAATATCGTGAAGCAGCAATGAAATAAAATAAAGATAGTTTTAAAGTCCTACGTTGCAGCTCCAACCACAATATTGAAGTGTGCTAAGAGGGTAATTTGTGGGGACATCGGCGTTTCCGCCTACTCTTCATCGAATTCACGGGTTCCTTTGTGTGTTAACCATCGTGTACACAGGATCCGAACACTAGACGCCGTTCCTTAAATTTAGGCTTCTTGAAAGTTTGTGTACTCAATACAGGATGTCGTACTGGATTTGAAAATGTTGAAACTTGGCGGAGAATAACGAAGAATGTTATTAACATAACAAAATTTCGGTCGGAACTTTAAATGTCGTAGTGAGGAACCCCGCTAAGTTTTTAAAACCCCTGTACAGATTTATGCCTAACTCCGCTTTGACAACAAATGGGGAAATAACTTCGCGATCGCAAAATTCCAATACGCCCACCAGCATCAAAATGTCCTAAAATCACTGTAGAAAATTTCAGAAACAAACCACGGAACTATGTCCCAAATTATGTGAAAGGGGCAATTGCCCTAAATTTAAGATCAAAGTCTTTTGAAATTTGAAAGTCCTTTACACACTGTGAACCGGGATTGTTTCAGATTTCAGTGTGGGTGTATTATGTCGTAACCCTGTCTGTCTGTCGGTCCGTCAACAATAATTGGCTTGTGAACGTGATAGAGGCTACAGTTTTTGACGGATTCTTTTTTCGCCCACATTTTCACGTGGACATATATTGTCGTCGCCCCTGTTCATCAGTTTGTGAACACACTACAGGTCACAATTTTATCCGATTTTGACGAAACATGTCCATTTCGATATTGGCATGTATCGGACCGTAACTTCCCGTATTATGATCCCTGGTTGTACTGAAAATCACGTTTTTAGCTTGTGGGCCCTCTAGAGGTGACATTCTTTTCCAATTTTAACTAAACTGGAAATATAGGTTAATATTCCAAAATGTTGGTGTATCTTGCAGAGCAATCGCTTGTTATATTTGGTGGAAAGCATTGTGGCCATGAGAAGACGAACCCTATCGATATAATCCCAGAGTAATAGCCCCTTGTGAACGCGATATAAAGGATACAGTTTTTGAGGGATTCTTTTTAAATTTGATCTGAAGCACTTTGGCGATGACAAACCCTATTGATATACAGCTTTCCGCGACTTTCCATACCAGAGTAATGCCCCCGTTTGCCGAACACCTTGCCAACGCGATAAAGTCTATAATTTTTTTTAACGGTCATGAGAAGACGAACGATATAGATATTGCTCTTTCTACGACTTTCCGTACTAGGGTTATGATCATTTTGCCGAACACCTTGTAAACGCGATAGAGCTTACAATTATTAATGGATTCTCTTTAGATTTGGTGTGAAGCATTGGGATCATGAGAGGACGAACCCTATCGGTATTCAGCATAGATGCAACATCTTTCTTGAAGGCCTCCCTTTTCAAAAATATGCGGACATGCCCGACCAGATCTTATAACTTTAAAGACTGTTTATAAGTATAAAGGTTGCCTCCAGAGCATCCACATGCAATTTTGGATGAAGGTAGGGAGGACGGGAGTGACGACAACATACAACCAAATTTCAATATGGGCGTTTAAAAACAGATAGACTCTATCGCATTTGAAATAGGGCATCAACTCCGCTTCACACCAAATTTAAAACAGATCAGAACAAGTGGTTACCATGCAAGATACGCCCATATTTCGCAAGAGATGGACAGAGAGAACAGGCTAAAAAGCGAATTTTCGTACAACCAGGGGTCATATAGCTACGAGAACGTAACTAAAAACGCTGAGGGTTGAGAGGTGAGGTTTGTTATCTAGGGGTCATAATACAGGAAGTTACGAAAGTATAATTGAAAGGAACCCATAATCTTTGGGATATAAACATATATTTTAAGTTTCATCCAAATCGGATAATAATTGTGACATCTAGGGGGCCCACAACCTTGGTAATACATACTTTTACACTATTTGCGTACGGGGAGTGGCCATTTTGTCATGTAGTTTCGGCCCGATTTTCACGAAATTCAAACTCAACTGTCATTATGGTGTAACGGTGATATATTTAAACTTTTTTTTTTAAATCTAGAGACTCCACAAAAGAGAGAGAGAGAGAGAGAGAGAGAGAGAGAGAGAGAGAGAGAGAGAGATGGGGTTTAACGTCCACTCCACACAAACTAGGTCATTTCGGGACTAACATAATACCCACATATTGAAATATGAAGTTATAAAAAAGAATCAAAAACAATAAATAATTTATATTCAAATTTTATTGTCGTTTAATAGATATGTATGATAAATTAGATAGACTATGATACTGAACATAATATTAAATATTTCTGGAAATAAATCTATACTCTTGTCTTACAATGTTTGGGTTTTTTTGTAACCCTATGGGTAATTGTTCTCGACTTAAAAATACAATATTTTAAGGGTTGTTCTGTTAATTATGTAACTCCTGCGAATTAAAAACGGTCCACTTTGCAGATAATATTTTTTCACTATTAAACTGTCCTTATTATTCTGCATATCATTATATATTAACAAGCCAAAGTTTAAGTAATCTTATCAAAAATATATAAATATTTTCCCACAATAAAATGGAATGGATATGAAAGGATATAATGAGCAAATGGTTTCACTTGGCAAATTTAAATATATTACATACACTTTTTGTTAATCCTACAAACAAACCCATAACAATTAACCAGTAAAAAGTCCAATAATTAATTACACTTGTATCAACTATCCTCTTTAACTTTTAAAGATTTTGATTAAAAAAATTTTTTTTTTTTAATACTCTGGTTCAACTCACCTAATACCATCCTAACGAAAAAGTAGAAATTTTGTTTATGTATAAACCAATTAATGTACATGTCTAAACCAAATGTACAGGTCTATATCTGTGTTCAAAATAAAAGTGTTGAATGGATGGAATTTTTAATAAATAGATAAATAAATAGCAGTTAACTTTTTAACACTCAATATACAACAAATAAACCTGTTCATCCCTAACCAACATATGGAAATGCTGGGGTATATCTTTTAAACTAATCTATAAACTAATAAATAAAAATAAAATAAGTTAAAAGATAAAAGTTTATGTGTGGAATTGATTGAATTTTTGCCTCATGGGTGGATATGTTAAAACCATACCAATTTGGACATGTTTGTTTGGCAATTTCAAATACACCTGTTAAGCATACAAGGACATACCTTTGTAATTAATTTAAAAGCTGAATACAGTTAAATTAACTTAAAAGATGGAAATAAAACAGTGAAATGGATAAATTAAAATAACTGTAAAACTTAGCATAACCAGCAGTTGCCAGGCAAGATATGCCCACATTTTGCACGAGATGGGTAGAGAACAAGCTAAAAACAAGTCCATAATTCAGGCATTTACGATCCTATATGTCCGAATATCGAAAGGAACCAAGATCTTTGGATTATAAACATGCATTTCAAGTTTCATCAAAAATTCAGATCAAAATTGTGATCTTTAGAGGGTCGGCAACCTTGATATACCAGATGCTTACACTATTTGCGTACAAGGCGCGGCTGTTTTGTCCGGCAGTTTTGGTCCGATTTTCACGAAATTTGAACTCAACCAGCATTACGGTGTAACTGTGATATATCCAAATGGTTATTTTAAATCGGATAATAATTGTGACCTCTGAGGGACCACACGCTAAAAGCTTTATTTTTCGTACAATCAGGGGCCATAATTCAGGAAGATACGATCCGATATGCACAAATATCAACAGGAACCAAGATCTTTGTGTTATAAACATGCATTTCAAGTCTCATCAAAATTGGGTGAAAATTGTGTCCGCAAGCTAAAACCGTTATTTTTCTTCGTACAATCTGGGGCCATAATCCATGAAGTTATGGTCTGATACATGCCAATATCGAAAGGAATCGAGATCTTTGGGAGATAGACCTATATTTCAAGTTTCGTCAACATCGGATAAAAATGTGGCCTGTAGAGTGTCCACAAACAAATTGTGGACGGATGGGGGTGGATGGGGGTGACGGCATAATACGTCCACATGAAAATGTTGGCATATAAAAATCATCACTGGACTTTCCATAATTCGATATTTCATAAATTCCAAATAAAAACTACACCCAAGGCCATACCATCTTAATGGAAATATAAGAATATATTTTTGTAATTGATATATGATGTAAATAAATAAAAATAATTATATTAAAGTTGGAAATATAAGTGTGCAATGGATGGAATCTTGGTCAATGGATAGATAAATTAAAATAATACTCAATATAAAAATCATCACAGTGAAATTTTTTAAACATGCAATATATCAACAAAATTCAAATAAATATGTTAGGCCATTTCCAGGGATACATATTCGTAATTTATAAACTAAATATATAAAACAATCTATTTTAAAGATAAAAGTGTTAAATGGATGGAATTTTTACTCGGTGGATTAAAATTTAATATAAAAAGAATCACAGTTGACTTTTTAACATTTAATACACAACACTGGGTATATTTTTTAAAAAATCATAATAAATAAGTGTTCTACTTTAGGTTATAAATACAGTCTATTTACAAAATAAAATGCAATTTCAAAATTTATACAAAATATGATATGGCATGTTGCAAGTTTATAGAGGAATTTGAAAAGAATATTCCTGTTTGTTTCAAAATATGCTATTTATGTACAATATTATCCTCTTCTACATGAATATAGCTTAACTCGTAAACATAAATTTAAGCAGTGAAATAATAAATTCAAATGAATTATTACTAATATTAAGACAAATATAAAAAGCTGATGTATGCATTAATGTTATTAAACATTTCCTCAAGGTATATTTTAATTTAACATTTTATGCTTGATATTTACAAAATGGAATGTGCATAGATACTAGGTGTAACATTATGAGGGACAAACATTTCGTTTGATAAGAACAGCATACTACACATTACACTGAGGTAGATCATGAGGTGAGAATCCCTTTGAAATGAAATGACTTGAAGAAGGATAATTTAAGAAATAAATTCTGATCATCTAGCTCTTAATTATTAACTTGAATTTGTCTGATATGTGGCAATGTTCTAATCAGGAGAAGTTATAATATACCTGTATCTCAAACATTTGTTTATGTAATTTGCTAATTATAGAGTGAAATCTACAATTACACACACAACACACTTGCAACATAAATACATTATTATGATGTATTTACAATGACTATTTACATATTTATTTACAAAATGTATTAATCTAATTCTAAATATAGATTTGTATACACCTCGGTTTATATTCAAAATGCACACAAGCATGTTAAAAAAAAGATATATTAAATTACTTTTTACTGACATTATTATTATTCCTATTTATATACTGCTTGCAAACATTTTGTACATACATTCATTCTTAATCTACAATTACTTTGATACATAGCCTAACTAAAATTTTCATCGGGTATATGCTACATACACCTATAAACTAAGTACATTTTCTCTATTATACATAATTCTATTGTCATTATTCAATATTGACTTATAATTATTCAACAGCCTCCCTAAATTTTGGTTATACACTTTATTGTATGTATTTTAGACACTTGTTTATTAAACTCCATTTAAAACAGAATATTTGCACATAATCTGATATTTAAAGTCAATATCAGGATTTTCTGCCCTGTAAAGCTGCCAGTCCGCTGGCTGTTATCGTACCATATGCTTGAGAATAACTACCAAACTTAGGAGCACCTGTGGAGGGAAAGTTCTGGGCCTGACTGTATTGTCTTCGTCCAGCTTTTGGCCTTGCTACTGTGGCAGATGTAGCTCTTTGACCAGGCATCTGCAAAATATTTTAAAAATTATTGAACATAATATTTCACATAGTTTCTTAAACTATATTCTTAAATCTAATTTCTTAGTGCAGAGAGTGAGAGAGAGAGAAATGGGGTTTAACGTCCACTCGACACAAACTAGGTCATTTCGGGACTAACATATGGTTTAATTTTATTTCAATAATTTGCTTGCGCATAGGGGTCTTTAGCAGTGAGAGGAAACCGGAGAACCCGGAGAAAACCCACGAGGTTGGACAGGCGACCCTACTCCTTGTCACGTACAACCGGGGATTCGAAACCGCGCCAGTCGACTCATGAAATGAAATGAAATGAAATGGAGTTTTATGGCACGTCAGCTCCAACCGGGCTATATGGTGCCAAACACATGGTGACTTTGACGAGACAAATTAAATCAATATCACATAAATATATTTATATACATAAATAAAAACAAGTATCACAGACAATGTTAAAAATAAATATAAATAAATATAAGTCCTTTATGTATATAAATAATTAAAAACAAAAATACGGATATATATATACAATTAAAATTTGTAATAAAAGTTTGTCTCTTTAAAAAAGTTTAACAATTTTCCATACAGCTCCGGTTGAGCAAATAATTGATGTAGTGACTGGCAACGGTAATAGTTTGATCTTACATTCTTGTGATGATTGCACTCAATCAAAATGTGCTTAACTGTCAAAGGAACATGACAGTGAACACATTCTGGTTGCGGCTCTGGCTTCAAAATGAAAATGTGAGTTAAAGTATGACCAATACGAGAGCGACACAAAACAACTTCATCCAGTCGACTCAATGACAGACTTTATGATGCAGCGCGCGCACGCTAACCATTCAGCCATCCAACCCGACAGCAGAGAGTGAATTTTCTACACTGCTATCATCGGTTGAGGAACAATTTCTTCACTTAAATACTCCAATACATCCTAATACCCTGTCTTGTGCACAAATTATTATCTACTGATAACTTAGCACGTAATAATACCTATTATATAAATAGAATATACATGGAAAAGTTTAAAAACATTCATGCATCTCATGTTTTGTAAATTCTGCTTGTTGATTGTATTACTTACCATTCTAGAACTACTAATTGTTAAACCTGTTCTATCATCCCGTGTAATAATAGGTTGAGCAGCACGAAAAGCACCAGATATAGGTCGTGAATGACCTCTATTAGCTACTGCTGGTGCTGAAGCTTGGCGATTCTTCTGGGATTGTTGGGATGAAGTTTGGTAAGAATCCTAAAAGATAAACAGCCTTTATTAAAATGAAGTTTAATATTTAACAAATTTATTTTTTTCATCTAAAATGGAAAATGGGAATTCAATTACTTACCAATCCAGTACTTAACCCTTTCACTGCGTATACCCGGTAGTACCGGGTATTATAAAATGTCGGTAAAATGCCCGTACCCGGTATTACCGTGTACTCAGTAAAGCCCTCGCTAAAATTAGTACCGTAACTGCAAGTGCCATCTATTGTATTTTCTATACACTAGAACATATTTCCACGTGTTTCAAAGCAGCAAACCGTAAAATGGCGGAGTGCATTGTGACAACGTAGACGATGCACTCTCGACGAAGTCGTGAATGACGTCTTGCTGACCAACATGTGGACAATTTCGAGGCGGGTGATAAACATAATTCGTTTCCAGTTACTTGATAATGATAGTAGTCAGGACAGTGATTGGTATTATGAAGTGTGTGATTTGTTGCGCGACGTTCCGCCCATGGCTAGCTATGTCTCTCGTGCATGATGAACAAGCCCAATGTGAACACGATAGCCCTGTGTCTGCAGTAGATTCTGACAATAATTCTGATGTTGATAATAATGCTGGCCTGCTGGATCGTAAAATACGTAGGTAATTCCTGATTCCCGAACGTGTAGATCTATTGACTGACTATATTGATAATGATATGGGACTTGGTGATGAAAGTGAAAGTAAAAACAAGGTATTGCAATCCGCACGTGGTCATGGCAGCGGGAGACGTGATGCGCGTGTTCGCGGCGGCATTGCTCATGGCTGCTATTGATATTTTTGTTCATTTTATATATCTTTATCAAAATCCAGTAAAAAAAACAATATCTTTTAAGTATTTCATGGAGAAAAATTCGTTTTCGTGTTAGCTTTAGTGTGAAATGAGAAATCCAAAATGGCCGCCATGACGTCACGTGACTACATTATTATGCAAATTTCCAAAATTCTATTTTTTCCTCTTAGCCCAACCTCATGCCCATCCCAACAGACAAAAAGATTTTTCATAAAAGCTTCCATAAGTACTGCTTGGCATTCAGTTCCAACCTCCCTTTTTTCCTCAAAAAAGGGTCTAGCACAGGCAGTGGATTTACGTCTAGCATTGAAAGGGTTAAAGAAAAACAAAATTGGAATACTTATTTATTTTATTTAACATGAATGTGAATATCTTTACTAAAAAAACTAAACCATCAAAAGAATTGCATTTAATTACCGTAACCTTTAAAATGAATTTCATATTATGACTTACCACAGCACCATTAGCTTGTGTAGCCTGAATATTTTCATAACTTCTCTGTCGTGTTAATCGATGTCGAGAAGCTATATCTAGAGATTTAAAAAAAAGGGATAGGTATGATTTATAAAATATTCCATCCAACTCGCAAAATTTAACCAATATCATTCAAAAATAACAGGACCAGAGAGTCAGGTAAAGATTAATATGGCCACAAGAATTTATTTGCTGAATGCAGGATTGGGTGGTAGAAATAGTAGAATGGTTTAAATGTGCTCTCTTTAGATTATAAGATCTCTCGTTGAGTTAAGTTGAGTGTGGTTTTGGCCCCAAGCTTGTACGTGACAAGGAGTAAGGTTGTCTGTCAAACCTTGTGGGTTTTCCCTGGGTCTTCCATTTTTTTCCTACTGCTAAAGACCAATAAGAGTATGCGAATTATTGAAATAAAATTAAACCATAAAATGATCTAGTTTGTGTCAAGTTGAGGTTAAACCCTATTTCTTTCTGTCTCTCTGTTTGACGATTGTTACCAAAATGCCAGAATAAAAGTTAAAATATAGAGTTTTCACTATGATACACACTTAGAAGTTCTGGTCCAAAAATTGTTTCACAGCAATCTTTAAGTGTTTTTATTGAGACAAATATAGTAATAATAATTATGCTCTTTTATATAAGCTATCCTAGAATTGTTAAAATTTGGATTTTAAAATTTGACAAAAATAATTTATTTAAAAATCAGTCCAGATCCTACAGTTGTGAAGACTGCTACAACAAAATATGAACTACCAAAAACCCAACAGATTGTGAGAATCTTTGCATGATCCAGTATGAGACAGTCACAAATTTCTTTTCAACACATTTGATACAAATCAAGCATCTTCATTTTCATATTGACAACCATAATATAAAATTTGTCCTCACTTGTGAAAGATGATGTATGAGAATTATAATGATTTTCACCACCAGGTCTGGCAGCCATGGGTGCTAAATGTCCTGGAGGAGAATGTGAGTGGGGGTGTGGGTGACTATTATCCAATGGTGATGGTTCTGCAGGAGGTGGAGCATACGCATTAGATGGGACATCACCTTGACCTTTACCATCGTCTTTCCGTCTGCGTCGTCTCCTGTCTGCTTTCTTTTGTAAAATCATCTGAAAGGGAAAATGTTTTTACAATAACCAACTAAGAACAAGCTTCATTTTAAATAATCACGAAGCTTACATAGCAAAGTAAGCAAGATTTGAAGTGAAATAAATTGAGTTGATGCTGTACTTTGATGTTTGGAGTTGTGATGGGGCGAGATGACTAAAATCTCTATCTTAACAGTAAGTGAAAGTAAGTTTGATTACATTAATTACGTTCTACTTTGATTTAACAAATTAACAAAACAGATTTAATTTTATTTATTTAAGACCCATTGTCAATTGAGGGATGTTTACAATATTGTGAAGGTCGGATATCCATTCAGAATTTACAAAAAGATTATGAATTGAAAATTTGTCAACAATAGGCATCCATCCTTCTGCAGACACAGTTAGAGAAAAATGGGTTTTAACGTCCACTTGACACAAACTAGGTCATTTCAGGACTAGCACATGGTTCAATTTTATGCCAACAAATTGCTTGCGCGTAGGGGTCTTTAGCAGTGGGAGGAAACCGGAGGATCCGGAGAACACCCACGAAGTTGGACAGGCGACCCACCTCCTTGCTACGTACAACCGGGGAATCGAAACCACGCCAGTTGACTCAATGGCAGACCTTATGATACAGCGCGCACATGCTAACCATTCGGCCATCCAACCCCCCCTCTTCTGCAGACAATACATGTATATAAACAGGAAATGGGCAAAAGATCCGGAGAACACCCACAAGGATAGACAGGCGACCCTCCTCCTTGCTACGTACAACCGGGGAATTGAAACCACGCCAGTTGACTCAATGGCAGACCTTGTGATACAGCGCGCACATGCTAACCATTCGGCCATGTATATAAATAGGAAATGGCCAAAAGAAGCCAGTGCCGCCTATAATCATTGTTGAAAACATTTTAGCATCAATTAAATCGTGAAATACAAGATATTTTGTATGCAAAAAGAAATATATGTACAATAGATTGTAACAAAACAATGAAAAGGTAAATGAACTTACTTCATATAATTTTTTACGATATTCTTCCACTGTTAACTGTACATCATCACTAAGTGGAGGAACAACATCATAGTCTAAAGATGTTTCTTCCGATGGTATATGAAACCTATAAAATGCACTGATCATTAAGATTTGATTTGATATACCATATAATATTTGCACTATTTGCGTATGATGGGCGGCCATTTTGTCCGGCAGTTTTGGTCCTATTTTCACAAAGTTCGAACTCAACAATCACCAGGGTGTAACGGTGATATATTCACAAGTTTTTTTTAAATCGGATTAAAAATTGAGGAGAATCTGCGCCAGACGATCCAGAGAAACTGGTTAGTGATCCAGCGTCATACTAACTGAGTCACCATGGCTCCCCAACTAGCATGACAACTACACAGAAAACATAATTTCATGCCATCATACTAAGTATTGTAGTCTGCATGGAAAAAAGAGCAAGAAAAACTTGTTCGCAATCTTAGTGGACTATTAAGGTTTAATACAATAGTTTTTAAGAGAATCACTCTGCACTCTTGACTGTATGTAGAATTACCTGCCAACATAAGGATGTTTTAGAGCATCGTCAGCAGTTATTCTTTTATCAGGATTAAAATGTAAAAGTTTTTTCATTAAATCTACAGCATCAGGATGTGCATCCTGGACTAGATCTTCTACACTTCTTTTAGGTCTGAAAAATAAGTTCAACAGTAAACTTATACTGTGTCATCCATTCAAAAAATATAGGTAATGTTTTGGACCGATAATCAAAAGAATTTAAACTGGTATTTATCAAAAAATTTTGTAGATTAAGTCTAAAAACATTTTATGATCAATAATAATACATACTTCATTGATGCTTTTTCTAAAATTGAGAATCCATACGCTGACTTTAAACTTTCAATATCTAAAAAGAAAATATAAAAAAATGAAATTATTTATACAGTTATTGATACACTAAGAAGACATAATTCATCTATCATTACTATTCATATATTTTAATTGTACGAGAACAAATTTACTTGTGCAGTGTGAGGAAACAGGGGAAGGCGAGAAAACCCACTATATTAGGTAGGAAACAGCTCTTTGTCATGTACTTGTGAGGATCAAACCGATTGGGTTTAACGTCCACTCAACACAAACCAGGTCATTTCGGGCTTGAGTGTAGGGGCTTTAGCAGTGGGAGGAAACCTGGGGACCAGAAGAAAACCCACAAGGATGGACAGGCAACCCTACTCCTTGTCACGTACAACTCGGGAATCGAAACCACACCAGTTGACTTAATGACAGACCTTATGATACAGCGCCATCCCCCCCCCCCCCCCTGTAAGATAATGAACAGTTGTCATGGAAGGTACGCCCAAATTTTGCAAGAGATGGGCAGAGAACAGACTAAAAAAAGATTTTTCGCACAATCAGGCGCCATAATCCAGGCCCTGAGTTTACAAAGCATTCTCACACTTAAGATAAGAATTTACTCAACTTTCAATCACTGTTTATGAGAAATATCTTTGATTCAGAAACACAAAAATTTGCACATAGTTTCTTATTGTATTTGATACATTAAAACAAAGGTTTTATAAAAGGTTATATTTTGAGTTAAAATAAGGCAAACAATTTTGAGTAAATTCTTAATTTAAGCCTGAGAAGCTGGTTCTGCTATTATTATCCTTTCTTTGAATACAAATACACTTTTGTTGTCAAGTAGTGGAGACACAAGGAAAACTACAAACTACAAAATATGCTGAATGCCTAAACACTGCCTCAAACTAGTTGCATTGAGTTTGATTATAATCAGGCCTCGAAATTAACGGCGGCCACCGCGGCCGTGCCCTTAAAATCTTCACTTTGTCCACGGCCACTTGTGGACGTGGTTGTCGGCCATGTTAGCAGAGATGCCCTTTTCTGATCCAGTAAATAAAAAGTCTACCTGAGCCACATATCTGGTCAGTTACATATCCTTTTCGTCCCCCGTTCACATCGCCATACTAATTAACAATGTATAATGATTAATAATACCCAGGGCTCGAAAGCGTTCGCGCACCTACCACGCACCTAAAGTGAAACCCAGGTACATATTTTTTAGACGCACCCGAATTTTATAAACAACGCTCCTCGTACCGAAGGCTAACTCACGGTTCTCCGGTAACAATATAATTCCAGCGAGAAACGAATGGCTTTTCCCGCCATTCTTTCTAAATCTTGTGATTTCATAGCAGACTTGATTATCAAGTCTATTTCGTTAATGAAGATTTCACTACCGTAATGGAGACCCAAGTCTTCGAAAACAGGCACGTACAATATGTCATAGGAAGAATAATAACAAAGAGATTATTGTTTGATAAATATGGGCTATCCCAACGTGTGACATCAGGTCAGTTTAAAAATGATAAAAAATGATAAAAAATGATGTGTCGTCCGCCAAACAGCACTGATAGTTTACTTTCATTTTGAAAGAGGTCACAGTCTTTCATTTCACAGTTCCATATGTCATGATGAGTAAAACAAATCAAATGATTGTTGCTACGGGACAGTAAATTTAACTGGTTTATTGAAATGTAAGACGTATTAATCTATGTCTGGTAGGACCTTAAAAGCCAGTTTCATTTTATTTAAATGCCCAATATTTTCTGTTAATTTTCTGAGAGTGTGAAGCACTGAAGGACAATTTTAATCCGTAATTTAGTTTTTATGTCTGTTCATGTATTCATTAAATTCATAACAATCCTACATATATAAAACAACATATAAATATAAAAATGCATAATGATGCAGGCTGTTATTGTTTATTTTGATGACTTTAAGAAAATTAAAAATTAATATTTTTGAAATGGATAAACAATTTGTTTCATTTATAATCCACATTTAGTTATACCCCAAGGTGTCGGCCTACCCAAAAACTACTACTAATTGATTCTTCCAAAAGAGTACTTTTTTGGCCTTGATGCCCCCATCATTGGCCTTGATGCCCCCATCATTGGCCTTGGTGCCCCTAAATTTGGCCAAAACGCGAGGCCAAAATGGCAGGGCCCCAAAAAGATTAGAATTCGAGGCCTGCCTGGTTGACCAGTGGTCATCAATTAATATATCAGTCAATGGGAGATCATGTTTCCTTACACTTCAGTCAGTACTGGCTTGATGGCAAAATAAATCTATCAATCTAACTAAAATACTACCTTCTCGTGAGGGTTTTTCTATAGATGCCATTATTCTTTCTATTTGATTGAGCGTCGAGGAACCAGGAAATAAGGGTTTACCAATTAACATTTCACCTAATATACAACCCAAACTCCACATATCTACACCTTTAGTATACCTGTAGAAAATAAAATATAAATATACTCCACATATCTATACTTTTAGTATACCTGTAGAAATTATATACAAATACTAAATAACTGGAACATTCTGAATTATTTAGTCAATAGGAAAATCAACTAAAGTATTTGGGTTTGGTAGTCCTTGCGTTCAGAACGCGACAGCTCGACTCACTACCAGAATTAAATATAATGATCATATCACCCCTGTTTTAATTCAACTTCACTGGTTACCCATTGTTTTTAGAATTCAATTTAACTTTTAAATGTTTAAATCATATGGCACCGTTGTATTTATCGTCTCTTTTAGATATCTTTTCCCCTACTCGTACATTGAGGTCCTCAAGTGATCATTATTCGCTTGTCTGTAAAACAGCTGGAATGAAAACTTACGGTGAACGATCGTTTTCAGTGCAGACCCCTAAACTGTGGAATAAGCTCCCACTTACTCTCAGAAGTTCCACCTCTTTAAATCACAATTGAAAACACTTTTATTTTTACTGCTTTAATTTTATACAATTATTATAGATTTTTAAATGTATGTTTTAATTTTTTTTAATATTTTTTTATGTAATGTATTGTACAGCGCATCTGAACACATTTTGTGAAAGCGTGCACTATATAAATGATGATAATAATAATAACTGATTTATGACAATAAGTTTACAAATCAAGTTTTAAAACATGCCACAAAAAAATCTTATTATTGTAAAAAGAAGAAAAAGTACTGATACAGGAACATTCAAAAATTGATATACCGTAAATACAGTTTTTGTGCTTGGATTAATTAATAAAGGCAAATAATGACTTAGAATAGGTTACATTTTCGGCAACTATCAATCAACTGAAACCATTAATCCAGACAATTGATTTGTGTAATTACTCAGAGACCAGTCATGATTATCTCTTAATTAGTTAATCAATCTATATTATGCCACCAACCATGTTTGTGAATGACACTTAACACTGTTAGCACAATGGTCACTCCAGCATAAAGTATGATTTTAAGATTTATTTTGACACTTCTAAAAAGGAATCACAAGTACACTCAAAAAATATTGTCAGAGTTATTGTCAAAATAAATTTTTAATCGCCATTTTCAGTTTTATTTTGAAAATTAAGACTTTAGCAACCAACAGCATGAGCCCTAGTTTTAAGAACTCTTGACATATCAATGACATTTATAAAATTTTAGGTCAAGCATATTCATATTAGTCTCTTCTTTTTTAATGTGTATTATAATCTAAATACAAATTCAACATACCTATGTGAAGCTAGAAGTATTTCAGGAGCTCTGTACCACCGTGTAGCTACATATTCTGTTAAATTAGGATCACCTGTTTCATCTATACCTATTTGTGTTAATGATCTAGCCAAACCAAAATCACATAACTTTACTTTACAATCACTATCTAATAATATATTAGATGGCTGAAATAAGAAAATTTAACTAATAAATATCAATAGGAATTTGTTCACAAAATAATCTCTTTAAAAAAAGTACTTAAGTTACAGTATTTTTCAGAAGAAATTAATTAATTAAATAATACCTTTGATCATGGACCTTTTAATTATGTATTATAAGGCCCATTCTTTGATGTACAAAAACATGACCAGACTTTCACAGAGTTTAAAGTCAATATCAAAAATTGCACCAGATGCCATAACAATATACCATTTAATGCAGAAAATCTAGATGTATTCCAAGATAACAAATTTATCTCATATTTTGCAGAACAGATAAAACATTTGGTTGTTGTTATATCTAATTTTCATGGTAAAGGTCAACATGGTAAATTTATTCATCCTTGGCAGTCGTCAGTTGTCAACATTCACAATACAAATACCAAACATTCTTTGGAATCAAACAAATTTTATGCTGGCTGATATCACAATGTCTGCACATGGGTCAAAGATCTTATAAACACAGTATGGTCAACTACTGTTTATGCCCTTACTTACCTTTTGATCTCTATGTATAACATTTCCTGAATGTAGATATTTTGTAGCTTTTAATAACTGATACATAATATACTGTTTGTGTACATCTTTTAATATATTTCCTCGTTTAATAACATTATGTAAATCTGTTTCTGTAAAGTAAATAATTAGAAAAGGGTTAACACCGAAGGAACAGTGAAAAACAATATAACAAAACGGTGGTAAATTTTAATTGGTCTGGCTTTGCATAATTCATTGAGTCTTCAATCAGTCTGCTTTATAGTAAACCCAGTTGTTCATGTGTGGTTTTCTTTTGAATAATCTTATAATATTATAACAGACAAATTTATCTCATAACTTACCCATGAATTCAAAGACTAGATAAATATCTTTATCATTTTCTGCTTTAATTACATTATGTAATTTAACAACATTTATATGATCACCAAATTCTTGCAGAAACATGATCTCCCTAAAAGTTCTCTGCAAAAAAAAAAAAACCCAATAAAACCCTCATATATTGTGTACTACCATACATCAATTTACATTATTTTTCCACAATATGAAAGCTCAAGGAAATAAAATAATTTAAATTAAGGCCAAACCAATTTAAAATTTGGTTCTTCAGGTTCAGGTTCTTCAGAAATAAATAACTACATAAATCACATGAAAGATGTTTTGTTTAAAATTTCAAAACTTAAAAATTTGGAACTTAAAAGCTTTTTAAAAGAAGGAAAATTTTAACAAATTCAAAATGGTGTGGTCTACTAAAATATAAACATCACACAAATAACTTGTGAACACATTTGCTAACAAATTCCGAACATCACAAATTATAACATTAATTATTAATGAGATCAAAATCTAACCTGGGCATCAGTTTGGTTTCTGAAAGCATCAAAAATCTTCTTAACAGCCACAACTTCTCCAGTCCGTCTGTCAATTGCTTTCCAAACAATGCCATATGCCTAGAAAGATTAATCAATTAGACAACAGGTTGGAGTTAATTAATAATGTATACAGAAGGCAAGGTAATTGATAAGGTAGACTATTGACTGTAATTATATTAACACCTATGATAATTAACTAACATTTTAACATGAGTTTACAAAGCAAGGTTTAGTTTTATCTTACATTAATTTCAGGTAAGTTTGGGAGTCCTGGGGAATATCTCCCTTGGATATTTTCTTCTGAAAGATTCAATACTGCCAGACTTTAGATAACTTCAATAAAATAACAATTAAAGCTTCAAGGTCTTTATTTTTTGGAGAGAGTTATATGGATGGCAAAAGTTATTTTGTATGGCTGGGGGTGTAGCAGCCTTACTACAGGAATATGCCCCCCTTCTTATAGAAGTTCATTGTGTTACCCACCATCTCGCCCTTGCTATTGTTGATGTATCGCAGACCGATACAGACATAACATTCTATGAAAGTACGCTGAATACTACTGTCACATCCTTTTTTCATAGGTCACCGAAACAACTTTCAAAATTAAAAATTTGGCAGGACCTGCTTGTTGAACCCATTGTAAAGCCCTTGGAAGTTCACAAAGTTCGATGGCTACTATGACAAATGCCGTAGAATCACTTGTAAAAAACATTGTCAGCATTGTTGGAAATATTGGAAGATAATTCTGAATCAGATATAATGGCCGATGCCTTATATTTGCACTTAAAAACATATAAATTTCTATTCTTTATACAGCATTTTTGCAAGATTAGTTTGGGTGTATCGAGACACTGAGCAGAGGGTTACAGGTACGAGACTTGGGGTACAAGGGTATGAGATAGACAGTAGATGGGTTTTTAGCTGCATGAACAAAACATACCTGGATGACGAACCCACCTACGGACCTAAATTTGCGACATTTTTGCTAACTACTGAAGGGACACACAAGTATATGGGCCAGACAATGACAAGGACACATAAAGACGCTACGCTTTTAGACAGGGTACGAAAGATATTGACTAGAATGGTGCACAATGTAACTGCTCAGTTCCCCGACAATAAAATTCCGTAATAGCAATATTGTAAAACTTATGGAAAAAGGGAAGACGCTACCAGTCAGCAGTGTATAATGTGAGTGGGGTTTTCCAAACAGAACCTTATCAAGACCAAACTTTGATGCCGTCTAAATAAGTTTAGATCGCTTGATGCGAATAAGTCTGGAAGGCACCCCCCTTTATCATCTTTAAATCCATATAAATGTTTGCAAAAGTGGAAAAATCTTAAATTCTTGGTAACACTAAAAATAAACTAATCTGAATCACGACAATTGGCCATGTGACCTTCCACACGTACGGCATATTTCCGAATTCTGACTATACACGGAAACTAATTTGTGCTACTTTGTTATTTATTGACAATATACTTTGTTATTTTTATATATTGACATGTGCTTACAAATAAAATAATTTTAAAGAAAAACATATTTGTTCGACTTGTGATTTATTTTTTTTACTAAATTATAACTTCTGTTTGGTTGGATGAAAGCAAAAGTAGGAATATGCATTATGCTGAAATTTGACTATAATAAATGTCGATATTATGTGTATGGATACAACTACAAGTATGCAATTACACAGGTCTTGTTTATTCGGAGTTCAGCTATTATTATTCCGAATATGTTATTCAATTATTGTCGTGAATAGAGTATGCATTTAAACCAACATGTCTGTTGTTCAAAAGACGTCTATCCGTTAGGCCTGTGGCTGGTTCATTTCAAAATGGATTAAGAACCCTGGATTTAACGTCCTACTCAGAACTGATCTGCTCAGAATGAGCTAATGAAGACAGGCATGCACCATACAGTGTACATGGTACCTTGTTTTTTTCATCCCATCCGAACAACTATACATTGTCCCTTCCCAGGCCCTCCATTATGCACCACTGACAAGGGGGAACCATGCCAGAAACTATTAAAGAAACTAGGTCTATGATTTGGGTCTAAAAACTGTACTGTAGGCTATTGTGCAACCCACCTGTATTCCTGTGATAATTTTTCAAGGAAATATAATTGAACTATATACTGCTAGTACCGTAACACTAACAGTTTCCATGTGGGGTGAAGTGGGGTCAATTGAACCAAAATCCTGATATTTGACTGTGGGGGGCAGTGGGGGCCAATCTTCTTCGTAACTTTGTGGAAATTAATATGTACGATTATCAAGTACATGTAACTCAACTGAAGGATGGATCCCCATAAGCATTGCACATCAAGTAATAATGTTTGAATAACTCCTCATGGTGACATATTCAATTGATTTGAAATTGTTTAAGGTAAATAGGATTCATCGGGACATTCTGACATGAAGTTGCACTCTTGCAGTGTTAATTTCTGGGTATTGACACAGTGAAATATCGAGCTGGGGGCTGCCCATTCGTAATACTAATATAGATAACTTTTCTTTTTGTACTAAAATCAGAGGACAGAGAAGGTAACACTATTAAAATTTTTGTTATGATAGTCATATGGGCTAAATCAATTGAATTATATTGAATTGCGGTTGTTCATCATTATCATTTATTCTAAATGCCCCCCGCCCAACAAGGCTACGAAGCAATTTATATTTTTCATATTAATCCAGATTCAGGTGTACATACAGAGGAATGTGGAAACAAGAAAGGGGGCTATTCATGCAATACAGATCGTGCACAAACACATCATTATGATCGCGATGTTTGGAGTGAATAGTGAATCATGCATGTCAAGTTCGAAGAAATGATTGCAACTAGGGCTAACGTCTTTTCCAAGTGAAAGGATTATATAAGAAACAAAACACTGCACGCACCAAATATAAAATGATACTTACCCCTTTTCCAAGTCGCTTTTTAACTTCATACTTTTTAGTAATATGCGGTTCTATTTCAGAACTCATGGTCTTTTTTTCCAGACAGCAACACAAGCCGTCAAATCTGTCATGGAGGACAGCGGATCGTTTAACCGTATCACTGCAGCATACTAATTAGTTCTTTATGAATACTGAGAATGCTTTGAAATGCGGTTATTATTTTGTGTAAAATACCATCAGAATGACCCCATGTGATAAAAAATAAGGATAAATATTCACAGATTATCTTGGCATTCAAAATTTTTAACGAAAGCGTAGTAATTCCTTAGTGGAAACACTCAGCCGTGCAATATTTTGACGTCACTTCTTCATCGATAGTTTACACCGTTACTATGGATTTGACCCCGGAAATAAATTCTATAGCCTCGCGCATTTTGCGGATATAAAACAAAACCACGTGGGTTTTGTTTACATTTTCCTTTCTCGCGCGGAGAAGTAAAATAACTCCAAAAGCCTGAACCAATTTATCATCATTGTTATTAAGCGGGTTTTACATAGTGAACGACTAGTTGTCTCTGTATTGTCATGAATAGGTAACAACAGAACAAAATTCGGTTTAGCTTATTGACAATCTCTATCTGATGCCCGTCGTTTCACTCATGGAGAAAGCATATCATACCATACATTTTAATCAAAATAATTATCGTTAATCAAGACTCCACGACTCCAACCATAATTTGACACACCTAAAAACCACTATTAACTATTATATCAAATGTGCGTATAGGTACTGGAAAGGGTGAATCAAATTGCATTTGTCGACAATGTCGTTCTCATTGGAAATTTGATCATTCTTTTTCAGAAAATATAAATGTATTTTTGCCTTTGGATCCTTTTTATTTGTATGATGTAATAACCACGGACAACCTTACCGTTTATTGCCTTTTTAAATTCGTCTAATTGCTATAGACGCATCGCTTTTAAAGTTACTGGTCGTCATATTGAGTCATATGGGGGTTGTCATTAAATATCAGCTGCTTTAAAATAGTAAATTTGGAATTTTATTCTCTTTTTTTTTTCAGAGTAAAATAGATAATCCTTGTACAGTACGTAGCATCTGATTTGTATGGAATTGAGATGGCCGTTTCAACTCAGTCTGAAATTCGTTTCGATGTTAAACAGCACGTGAATAATACTAAATACAGTCGTATGTTTCGGAGTCTGTCCAGGGATGTGTCTGGGGCTAGTTGTGACATTCCCGCAGGAAGTCGAATTCTATTTGGTTACGTACACCAGCCATTTCCAAACACCTTAGTTGCAGTAATGTCATTTAGTTTTGCTAATAAAAATTGTTCGGAACCATCTGCGGAGTTCTATTGCGATTATTATCATCACATCACCTATTTGTTCGTGAAAAAAGACTATCAAGGGATAGGTTACGGCAAAAGATTACTACATCGGTCGTTAAATTTAATGAGACAACACAGTTCAAGTAGACCGGTGCGGGTACAAAGTGCGGGAAAATCAATTGGATTCTTTGAAAGACAAGGCTTTAAGAGAATAGGCGACCTGTTTGAAACGTCAGCTGGTTATGAAAGTTCCCCATTATTTAATACCATGCAAAATATGGAAAGGAATCCTTGAAAAATAACAGATAACTGTCCATGAGTTCAAAGAAAAACACGACACAATTCATATGGAAAACAATCACAGGTTTTTATACATATAGCACGACTTTTTGTACATGAAAACTATAATAAGAGAATGCTTGTCGAAACGTCGTGCTGTGTACACACCAGTGAGTGTTTTCCATATAAATTCTGTTGTGGTGTGCTCAATCGATAAATGACACTTAGAGATTTGGCCCATTGGTTTTATACCATTTCTATTACAGATTATAGTTCGAGAAGAACCACTGCGCGGATTATTAGTGTAACTTTTGTTCTTCTATTGCCGTGATAAGAATCATAAACAGAGGCGAAAGTCAAGTTCTCGACGTGGCCTCAATAATAATTATTTTAATCACTTCACTATAAATACAGATACAAATAATTCAAAATCATGAAAATCCCCTCTTCTTGCTTAAATGAATGAGTGGAATGGGGTTTAACGTCCTACTTTTCTTTCCCAACCAGGATAATGAAAATGGTTCTAGTAAACTATATTTGTATTGAATGTTTGTTTATCCGATAAAAAGTAAATGTTTCAAATTAAAGTTTGTATATAGTAGAAAGTAAAATATGTTTATTGAATGTTTACTAAATTAAAATGAAATTTTTCAAATTGAAGTTCAATTATATAATGCATAACAGTATGTATAAAGTAAACTGTTTGTATTGAATGTATACTCAATTGAAATGAAATGTTTTAAATTGGAGTTCAATATATAATATATAATACTAAGTAGAAAGTAAACTATATTTATACTCTTCAAAAAAAGTAGGAGATATTGAAATGCAAATACATGTACCTATGCAGGTTGAGATATGATAAATAGTCATGGACACTTGACATGCTTTGAGAGTATGTTCACAGATGAAGAACTTATCGCCCCAACAGAACCACTGAGCTGCAAATGCGACACGCAATAGCGCCATACACGTGGGAGGGGTTTATTGTCAAATTTGACACTTCAAGAAAGGGTTGATGAAAACTGCCGCGTGCTGGTTTATCTATCCATGTTTGCTTTTCTATCGGTTCTTGCATAAGATTTACTGTTTAGCGTATCTTTGCTTTAGTGTGTTACGTTTAATTTGATCGGGAGACGTGTTCACCGACGGCAACGTCAACCGACAACACTGCAAGAATTGGCCGTGGCACTGCAAGAGGAGTGGGTCAGATTGCCCCAAATCGTGATTGGACGGTTGATTAGGAGCATTCCACGACGAATTGCTGAATGTCTGAGGATTGGTGGAGCAATTACCCATTATTAAGACAAAAATCAAAAACGTCCATTTTCACTTTTGACGGTGTATCTCTTTGCGAGTGAAATTGGGCCGTCTGATAAGCCGCCCATATAAACTGTTTATATTCATGTGTAGGCAATTGGCCTGTTATTAACATACACTGGCTACCTCTAATAAAAACAGCAGTGCATTTCCGCAGTTTTGTATTGTTTCTGAATATCCCCTACCTTTTTTGAAGAGTATATATTAAATCTATATCAGATTAAATGATGTTTATATAATAAATGTAAACTAAATATTATTGAATGTATATTACATACTAGTATAATGCACACTAATTATTTTGTATGTAAATTATATTTGTATTGACTAAGTATGGTTCACTATAATTAATCTGTATACACTATACTTGTATCAAAAACAGGTGTTGCTTCTTTCTAGGCACGTGGGACTAACATCGTAAATTTCATTCATATGCTTGCGTATGTAATGCGAAGGGGATTCTTTTTGCCTCCCTTCGAACTCCAGCTGTCAATGGTTTTTATACGCCCACAGTTTCCATACTCCTCGCAGTATTTCGTTTGATTATACCTAATCCCACTCAAACACTGCTGTAATGAAAGCAAATTTCTGTTCCAAATTGTGACTGGTCAATAGTCCGACTAACAACCAATACCTAACTGCGTAAAAATATCATTCGGGTTTAAACAGAGCTCCAGATATATTTACATAACGTTACGTCATGACTAACGAAATTTATTACCCCCAATTCATCTGTGCATAGCAGAATATTGCAGAAAAACTAATTGCGTGACAAATGAGGCTACAACGTAAATGGCTACAACGTAAACAATACTGCTTGGAGGCAAACAATACCTTAAATCACTGTCCAAAGTTTTAGGGAAAATCCCAGATTAAACGAAGGGCTGTCATATTGTTGAACGGAAAGAATAGACACACTGTCAATAGCTCAAGTATCAGAAATCAATCTAGCAATGACGAGATAGGGATTTCTGGTGCCACTGCTTCAGGAATATGAATGACATTTTCATGTGGACGTATATATTGTCATCGCCCATTTGTGTGTGAATAGTGCAAAGGTCACAATATTTATCCGATTTTGACAAAACTTGAAATATAGGGTTATCTCCCGAAGATCTCGGCTCCTTTCAATCTTGGCATGTATCTTACCGTATCTTCATGGATTATGGCCCCTGATTGTACGAAAAATTGCGTTTTTAGCTTGTGGACACTCTAGAGGTCACAATTTCTATCCGATTTTGATGAAACTAAAAATATATGTTTATATCCTAACGATCTTGGTTTTTTTCGATATTCGTGCATATTGTACCATAACTTCCTGGATTGTGGCCCCTGATTGTACGAAAAATCGCCTTTTAGCACGTGAACCCTCTAGAGGTCACAATTTTTATCCGATTTAAAAAGACGTTTAAATATATCACTGTTAAACCATAATGACCGATGAGTTCCAATTTCGTGAAAATCAGACCGAAACTGCCCGACCAAATGTCCGCTCCACGTACGCAAATAGTGTAAAAGTATATAATACCAAGGTTGTGGGCCCTCTAGAGGTCACAATTTTTATTCGATTTTGATGAAACTTAAAATATATATTTATATCCCAAGGATCTGGGTTCCTTTCTAGACTTGCGCGTATCGGGTAACAACTTCCTGGATTATTGCAACCGCTAATTTTATGAGTAGACGGTCCCATCTGAATGACTTGCCTTCTCGTTTGATACAATAATTTTGTTCACTGTTCAACTGAATTCAGTATGATTATGGAAGGCACAGTGACCGTGAGTGGTGCACGATGTAGAGGGAGCCCAGTACTAAGCGTACACTTACGTATCCACGTAGATAGCTTTCTCTGATAAACAAGGAACTGTACAGCATGCGCGTTAATTATTTACAAAAACAGTAGGGCAAATCCTGATGATGTATTAACTGGTATATCTGCAAATTAACTTAGAAACACTCTTTAGCTAATGGGGGTCTTATGACCCATGAATTCCTAATTATGCAACTCACTTTGTTTAAGTCAGAAATATCTGTGACAGAATACGACGCTATAAGGTATAACCAAACCTTTAAGAATTTGTGCTCGATTTACCCGACCCGGCCTAGAAATTGTACAGACGCTTTAGCTGCCAGAGAAGAGAGAGAGAGAGAGAGATGGGGTTTAACGTCCACTTGACACAAACTAGGTCATTTCGGGACTAACATAATATGGTTGAATTTTATTTCATTAATTCGCTTGCACGTAGGGGTCTTTAGCAGTGGGAGAAAACCCACGAGGTTGGACAGGCGACCCTACTCCTTGTCACGTACAACCGGAGAATCGAAACCACGCCATTTGACTAAATGACATACCTTATGATACGACGCACACCCACAAACCATTCGGCCATCCAACCCCGCGCTTTAGTTT